GCTGTAGCTCGTCGAGACATCGCTCAACTGTGTGAACAGGTCGCTTCGCTAGTCAACCAGACTGGATCGTTGAAACGGGACCACTCGAAGGTGGTCTCAGCACTTGATCGCGGAGGTGTGCTTCATATCTCGAAAGGGCTCGTACTGATATTACGGGCGGAGACGTCCAGCGTAAAAACGTAGGATGCGTACACATCTTATGGGGCAGTTTAATCGTTTATGCGTTGCCCACTTGGCACAACACACGAAATGGACCGATATACTTGGGCAGCAGTAAATTACTGCTGCCAACGTTGTCACTGTGTTTTTCCGTAAATTACTGTAGACAGTGAAAATAGGTCTCCTTTATCAAATGAAAGAACATTTGCTCTTCCATGCTTGTCTGCGTTTCGTTTCTGTCTTTCTATTACATCTGAAATAGAGTCTTGAACGAAGCGGACAACCGCTTCGCGAGTCAGCAGAAATTACTCTGCTGATTCATCCTTGTCAACAGCAGTGCGCTTCGTGTGCACTGCTGAAAGAACGTTGCATTCACCAGTGAGGGCATCATCGTCCTCACTGTGGCAGTCGTTAGCGATGTTGAATATGCCAGTATCGTCGTCATCATCATCGATATTGATCGAATCGACATCGGCATCCATCACATCGACACCATTGTCGACGGGTGATGGGCAAGATCCGGATCGCTTTTTGTTCGAGCGAGTCCACCCTCCCCCATTAAAATAGAGTCACAATCTAAGAAGGCGGGTAAACGTGGATGGCGTAGGCCATTCACGAAGAACGGTGTTTGCGTTGTCGATGCGTGCACCGAGTTGTTGATGGCGAATTCTGCCATCGGCAAGAACCCACTCCAGCTCGTAAACGATTGGAAATACCCTCGAAGTATATCTTCGAGGACGCGGTTGACGCGTACGTCTCACCATCTGTTTCTGGATGGTCAAAATTCGACATCCTCAAACGTGTTCCAAGTGAACGGAACACGGATTGCCATAACTCTGCTGTGAAGCGAGATCTTCATCAGACACGAGTTCAAGGGGTAACCCGTGAAGTCGGAAGATAGTATCGATCAAGACACGTGCACATCCTTGGGATGTGATTGACTCCGGTACAGCAACCAGATGTACCAGCTTGCTGAACCGATCGACAAACACAAGATTACCAGTATTCTTGTGAACGTCTTTGGGAAACCCGAAGACGAAGTCCATCGATACGGACTGCCAACAATCTGCCAGAATTAAAAGAGGCTGCAAGGGTGCGCGGGATCAAGGACTAGGTTTCACCCGTTGACATGCTTCGTAAGCGCGGATGTATTTGCGCACAAACTCATACTGGAGGGGCCAGTAGCAGTCACTACTCACCATGAGGTAAGTCTTTTCTCTACCACTATGCCAACTTGTCAAGGCATCGTGACACTCATACATGATGCGCAATCGCAAATCATTATGAGCCGGAACGACGACACGAAGTGTGTCTTCGTTGACTGCTGTATAGTACAGCAGTCCATCACGAACAGAATACGTTCGGTTGAAGAGCGGTATTGAGACGACAAGCTTTTCAAAGCTTGAATGCGTGAATTAGACACGTAATCCATCAATCGCAGAAGAGACTAATCTTCTGCGTATGCCTTCCGCACGTCTTCGAGCAGATACGACGACAGAACACTCACTGTTAGTGTTGCAACTGTGGGATTACCCCTACTGTTGGGTCGAGCAGTCGGCTAGAAATCGGGACGACGCGAAAGAGCATAAGCGACGACATTAAGCCGTCCTGGTTACTAATCGACGGAGAAGTTGTACTCCGCGAAGAAAGACAGCCACCTCGCCATCGATGCGAGAGGTGTGGACTGTTTACGGCCGTGCGTAACGACGCATGGTCGGTATTAACGATGAAGGGCCTATCTCCTAAGAGATATACCCTAAACTTAGCCAGTGCATAGTTCATGGTAAGGAGTTCCTTGTCATGCACTGGATAGTTCCGCTCAGCTGTTTGCAGCTGACGCGATTGATAACAGACGACGCGCTCAACGCCGTCTGAGTCGTAATGCATCAACGCATAGCCGATCGCAAAATCGCTGGCGTCACAGACCACATGGAATGTTCTGTCCTGGTCTGCAATCGCCAACACAGGCAATTGTGTCAAGCTTTTCTTGATAACTTCGAAGGAGTGCTGACACTCAGCACTCCATGACCACCTCTCGTTTTTCTTTAGTAGAAGAGAGAGATCTACGTTCATCTCGGCATAGTTGCGCGAGTATTTGTGCAAGTACGCCGCCAAACCAAGAAACTTTCGAGGTTCCTTGACTTCGACTGGCACAGTTTAGTCTCTAACCGCCTTGATCTTTTCCGGATCAGGGCGTACACCGTTTTTACCCACGATACAGCCAAGAAGTGGTATTTCGCTCACTGCGAATTTACACTTCTTGAGGTTCGCGAACAACTTATGCTCTCGCATTAGAGTAAGAACCTTCCGGACGTGGATTCTATGAATCTCCACGTCCGTCTTTCCATCCATAGCCCGGCTATGGACGAAGCCATTGTCGAAGTAACTCGGTGCTAAATCTTGACCGATCGCAACAGATTCGTGACACATCTGTCGAACGTTGCGGGGGAGTTTCTTAGCCCCTGTGGCATCACTAGCCACTCCCGGTTCAAACCACTGAAGGTTCTCACTCCTGTGTACAGGATGTCCCGTTCACGCATGAGGATATGATAGAATCCATTTATCAAATCCATGGACGAAAAGATGGTACTTTTTGCCACACCATCAATGATTACGTCCTTCCTTGGTATCGGCGTTTGAGCCGGCACCGTTGCAGCGTTCAATTTGTTGAACGCGTGAACTATCCGCCGCCCTCCTGTGGCCTTTCGCACACAGAAGTTCGGAGAGCTGTGTGGGGATGTCGATTTTCTCACATGGCCAGCCGCTAAACGATCGGCAAAGAATTTGTCGATTGCTGTGACCTGTTCACGAGGCAGTGGCCACTGCTTCATGACACAGTATTTTGAACTTGGTTTCAGTTCAATCTCACACCGAGTGCCTTTGTCCTTAGGCAGCTCTCATGGTACGGATTCCGGGAAACATCCCTGAATTCAACTAGATCCTTATACAAAGGATTTGTCTTCAATACTCCCAAGATTGAGACGTGTATCGCTCAATCCGAGTCTTCTCATCGAGAACACTCTCGGCCGTCGATGAGCCACTGAGAACCCGTTCGTTTTTCAGTAAACACTTTAATTACTTGTGTCGACCGAATATCGGCGACGTGCTCGTCCTCTGTGACGAGTACGCAGATCTGCTTGATCTGGTCACTACGCAGATCTTGCAAGAATCTTTTAGATTCCAGCGTTGGCAACTTGACTACCTCCGAAGCTGACTTCGGGGGCGTAATCAGATTAAGTGTATAAGCGCCTACGCTCTATCCGTCATTCACCAAGACATTCACTGACTCGGTGATTTCCTGGAATAAAACACATCTGCAGGTGGTTGGGGATCCACACCCTCAACAAAACTCTCTCGGAAGTTATCACTCCCTGAAAGCTAATTTTTCTTCCATTACGTGTACTATCACGGTCACGTCCTCTTCGATCGACTCTCTTTCAGTCGATCGGGCTTGCTCTACGATCGACTTTCTGTTAGTCGATCTTGCTTCAACGTGTTCTTTATCCTGAACAACACTAATCTCTCTTCTCGGATGCACCCTTCTTGGTGTGCATCTGTGTTCTATTCCGCTTGATCTCTTCGAGTGGTGAACCTTCGGCGCAGCCTGTGTCTCTACACAGGTGCCGGAAGCTGGTTCCACAGTGTAGTGGCCTTCTGCAATGTGGTTTTGTGCAGTCGTACTAACGACCGTACCACAACTGAGGCCATCGCACTCACTCGTAGTGCATCCACACGCTTGTGGACGCTCCAAGACGTTTATCCGATGGCCATCCGATGAACAAACGGCAGGCATCTTCACGGATCGATGCTGCCAGCTAACCCATTGCTGGTATTTTCTAAGCCATGGCAGACCGAGGATGACATCAAATTTGTCATCCAAATCCAATGCGGTAAAGTCATCATCGCACTGCTTTCCTTCTAGCGTGTAGTGAATTTCCACTACACGTTTGTTCACTGTTACGGATGCGCCTGTAGCAAGGCACACCGTTATCCTCGTTGGAGGGAACTCTCGCTCAGCATAGTTGAGCCTACTATCCCCTAGCGACTGACGTTGAATAAAACTGTTCGACGCACCACATTCAACTAGGGCGCGAAGTGACATTCCATTTGTCACTTCGATCTTTAAAGTGATGAGAGACTCCTCATCACTAGAGGCAGTAACACACAGAGACTATTCATTGGGAGCAATCTTCTTCAAGATTCCTGCAAATTCTCTTGACGTTGCTGGATCAGCAGGGTGCTCCGCCTCTACTGACGCTGGCTGCTTTTTTGGCGGGTCCGACTTGCTGTCGCGGCTTAGCGACATGGTCGGACCCACGCCTCGGACCTTTCCTTGGCCAATGGTGATCATCACGTTCTGTCTTTGGACGTGTTGCGGTGCTCGGTACACTACGCTCATGAGCGTAGTGTCCAATTTTCTGACAGCGGTGGCATCTTGCCGTTCGCTTGTGACTCAGAGAGCAAGAGTTCTTGCTCTCGATGTAACAGATGTCCATTGGTTCGGGACCTCCGGTTTCCTGTCGTCTCGTCGGACGATAGTTTGACGAGTTAGCCTGTCTCAGGCTGAAGTCTTCTTGTTCCGCATGCGCTATCGCCTATTCCAGCGTATGGAAGTCCTCTCGGAACATGTAGGTCTTCACCGGCTCATCCACAAGACCGTAGATAAACACGTTGATGAGCGTGTGCTCACCAACAGAGTTTTCCGTAACGCTACTCACAAGATAGCGCAGGTTCTGTGCATAAGCGTGCACGTTACGCTTACCTTGCTTTAGCCTCAAGATTGCAGAGCGTGCTCTGAACTCGGCTCTCGGCGGCTCAAACGTCTCTTTAAGCCGATAATTCTAGATCTCCAACGACTCAAACATGTTTGGGTCGTGAGGCTTGAGCCCTAAGGCCCAAGTCTTTTCTCGTCCCGTCAAATTTGACAGGGCGAAGGTGACTTGCATCTCGTCACCCTCCATGTGACGGGCCCTGATGGCGTCGTCTAACTCGACGAACCATCTCAAAACAGAATCTTCATCGGTTCCCTTGTACCTTGAGATATCAATCTTCAAGGTTTCGGGTCGACGCATGTGCGTCGGCCCGCCCATTGACAGATGAAAGCCTTGCTGCTGTAGCAAGGCTACCTTTCGACGGCAAGTTCACCTTGTAGGAACTTGTTGATAGCAGCATGTTGCTGGTCTCTGCGTAGAGACTCCAACATGCCACTGATGGCGGGTTCGCTCATGAGCACACACATGCGGCCGACTACCTTCCATCCTGAGTCACTTAGACGGGAGTAGCCTTCACGTGTGACGTGAAAGCTGTCGTCTTCTACGTCCAACATGTTCATGTTGGACGGACACTAGTAGTCGTTGGACGGCCTACAAGTGCTACCAGGTGTGACGGGGCACCCTTTGTTTGGGTGCCACGAAACTTCACGTACACTAGTACGTGCAGAGAATGCTAATCTACTAAAACGACTCGTTTGAGTAAAGGTAAAAAGAGAGCTGTATTTAAAATAGTAAAGCTATCAATGGTAGTAAAGGTAAAGGCAAAAAAGAGTGCTGTATTTAAAATAGTAAAGCTATCGATTTTTAGTTCCTTTATTTCCAAAAGCAACTTTACTTTAGCACTTATCTAACTATATAGAAGTACGTCGTCGTGTGACGACAACCTGCTCACTACTCATTACGCGCGTCTAGAAGCGATTGATGGTAACCTTGGTTAATAAGTCTTATATCAACTAATTTTTGATTTGCGCAAATGCATTATCCTACAAGGAGATAACATTCCTTTTTTTTATCTTGGATGATATTAGTAGGAAATGGTCACGCTAGACAATCTCCCGATTGACACCATCTGGTTTCAATATAATGCAAAACGGTCCAAATCGTTACAGTGCGGCGCCAGAACGTCTTTAAAGAACATTTGCGCCGACATCTTGACAATCTGTGCAGGCAAGTTCGGAGGAGCATCTTTCTTGCGAGGCAGATCGTTAGCTTTGCGCTCTGTTCACACGTCCTCCATTCCAAGCACCACGTTTATCGCATATGTGTAGACCTCGCGTGTAACGGAGCACAGATGACTAGTACTTCTTCAGTACTAGTGCACATACACAAACTACAGTGTAGGTAGTGCCGCCCATCAATTTAAGTACATTTTATGCGCAAAGAAGGGCAAAAATATTAATGAAGCGTTCAATAGTTGTAGCGGGCTACTTAGCGCTCCTAAACAGAGGTATTCTTCAAATTTAAATATACTCTTGGTAACAACAAACTAATGATGACGCTTATTCGTTCAAGCGTACAAGATTAACAATCCTGGTTCCAAAGGGATTGCGATTCGCAGAATCACACACTAACTAGTCACTACTAGTTAAACAAGAGTAGCGCCTTTACAAGGCCAATGCGTTTAACAGCACGCTACGCCTTGACTAGGCACATATGTCCAACGATTCAAATGGAAATATGATTTTTGGATTATTTGTTTACGGCAATAAACCTTAAAATCTTGTCGAACTTATTATTCCATTGCGATCCTATGACAGAAGTCCTATCTCTTATCCCTAACTGATAAGGTGCGGTCTTACCGTATGTACATGGTACCCAGACTGCACCACTCAGATCTACCGATCTTTACTTGGAGTGGACACACACCATAACCAATATAGTAACCACCGTGTGAACCCGTTGCACCCTTCCCACCAAACTTTCGACACCCTTTTGTCGGCAAATCTTCTACCGCTCTTTGAGGTCTCAAAGATCTGGTCCTTGACCATCGTGTTCATTACAATTCTCAAAATGACTGGGTCACAGCCTTCGCCTAACACCCTTGAGAAATTTCTCAATGAGGGTATGGTGAACTATGAGAGTGACACCGTCGCTTCAAGTGTCAACTAATACCCTCCATCTACGCCACCGGCGCATGACACCTCGCGCGTCGCGACTAATTTATTCGTGGAACGCGATGATTTATCTTCACCCACTGCACAGCGTGCAGCCGTCGATCTGCAATCGGTGTGTTGCACATCACACTTGATAAAGATCAAGCTCAGTATCTTTAGTCAGGCGATGGCCGCAGGCATCAAGCAATTTTTTGTAGCCACAGCGTATGCTCATAGTGGCTACCGCTTCACACGACCGAGTGTGGATGAACGCACTCGTCAAACAGCCGGGCAGTCACTCGCAACATGGGTCACGGGATCCAAGGATGTCACAGCCACAACACCGGCGGAGAGGGAGGCTTTTAGAGCGAGATACCTGGGTGTCAAGCATATGACAGTTTAAGATTACCTCGACAGGCTGAACATGCAAGCACGGGGTGCCTCATTGTCCGCCACGTGGACTGTGCCTGTCGTCCTCTTCCTTGGTGAGACAGAAGCGGACACTGATTTTGGCTTAACGCGTAAAGCTCACATATCTCTCCATCTACCAAGTCTATGGAATCCAAAAGAGCGCTTCACTTGCTGACAATCGGTTCATACGACAGATGCGCTTTGATTTCGCAAAACAAAAGGCAAAGACCAACTGCGATAGTTTCATCACACCCGCTATGCTGCGGCAGCTACGGACCCGCGAATCAGGGCCCCTGCTGCAGCTGCAACCCCCTCCACTCCCACAACAACTAGTTGGAAGCGATATGTGTCGTCTTACCCTAAAGCCGACGTTCGAAAACGTCAATGGCATGTGGACAATCCTGCCGCAGTGGCACTTCGTGCTTCCATATGTTCTCCGACTCCGGGTGCCCTGCCACTGTACTAACGATTTATACTGGCCGTTGTTACAACGTCGTTGCAGGATTATATTTAACATGGTACTGTCGATACCGTTGCTCTTGAACGAGATCTAGCGGTGGTCGGTGAATCTCGACGCGTCGTCGAGGAATTAGTGCACGAGGTGCATGGTCTGCGTGATCGAGTGGCGCGTCTTGAAAAACAACTGGATCTTATCGTGAGGATTCACCGACTTGTGGCATCGCCAACTCATTCGGCGTAAGCACCTCGTCATCCACCAGCTACGGATCAAGATAAGGCTTAAGCAAGCCGACGTAAAACACTGGGTGTGTTCGCATCTTTAGTGGGAGGTTAAGCGTGTACGCTAGGCCTTTCTTTGCCACGACCGTAAATGGCCCAATAAAGCGAGGACACAACTTGTTCTTATATACCGCTTAAACCATCTTGGTAGGCAGATTCTTAGCGTCAAGTAAGACTAGGTCTCCAACTTCTTAACCCTCAATACACTTTCTGCCTTTGGCATCAGTTCGTTCCTCTTGTTTTTCCTGGATATCAGCCATTGCTTCAAGTAAATGTCGTAAGGCATTCAATCGCGTAGCGAGAAACTCGCTCACCTGTTCTAAACAGCAGTTAGGCTGACATTAGCAAGCCTATAGGCTATTTCTCTCCCATCTAGCTTAGGAAAGCGTAGTTTAGCGTTAGAGGAACGCTTGAGTGAATGAGACCATACAGGAAGAATGGAGTAAACCCCGTAGATGCATAAACAGCGTTGTTTAACGCAAACCCGAACACAGGGAGCATAGAACTCCAATGCCTAGGCGTATCAGCGCAAACACTGTGTAAAATGTCAATAATGACACGATTGAAACAATCAGTTTGGAAATAGGTCTGCGGATTTTCAGCTGTGGACATGTCCAACCTGGTGCCCAGCTCCTTGAAGATGGAAGTCCAAAACTTTCCGGTGAAATGTGGATCACGATCCAAGACAACTGCAACAGGCCAAACGTGTTGAAAAAACACACGGACGATAAACAGCTTCACTGTACCTTCACCGTCGATGGAATATGGCACAGCCGCTAAGTTAGCAATTAATCTTAAACGGTCAACAAAGACCACAATACCGGTGTTGCCGTCCAAATCCTTCGGTAGGCCAATCAAAAATGTTCATACTGATGGCCTAACAACACCTAGTGGGACCAAGAAAACTAGCAAGTGGTGTGCCCACGTGCTGAAGGTTTGACTCGTTGACACGTTTCACATGTATTAACGTGTGTAATCACCCATTTGGCTAATTGTCGCCATCAATGCGTCTGACTGACTGATCTTTATGTCTTCCCACGACTGTGATGACCGCCCAGAGCAGTGTCATATGATTTAAAGAGGATACGATACTTTGAATGCTCATCGTGAGGACTAATGCGAGGCGAATCCTCAACACCCGTGCAATAGACCGGCAACCCACCATCGATGACATGTCGATGTAGGTGCGCACTTAAACGTGCCGACAATTTGATTTCCGAGTCTTGAAACCTCTCGCATCCGAGAGCATGTAGCAATGCTATACATTGCTCATCACATGAATATTCCCCATTAAAGAGATCCACAATGGATGACGACAGATTTGTAACATGAACAAGCTCATAATCAGCTCTGCGTAACAACGCATCAGCCAAAGCAATTTGCTCACCCGGCTCATACTTCACCTCGAAGTTATATTCAGCAAAGGATGAAATCCAACGGGCGATACGCTGTGAGAGGTGAGGCGACTGTGTTGCAGTGCGTAAGCAACGCATGAAAAGTGAAGACCACACAATGCGTTGAGTCATGTAGATGGGCTCTGAACTGAAAATATTCATATTTCATTGCAATTAACTCTTTGCCGTAAACTGAATAGTTCCACGACTAATAGAAAAATTAGACGCGTCACAGACGACACCTAAAGGCCGCTCAGGGTCCGGTATAGCTAAAATTGGAGCACGAAGGAGACTGTTCTTGATATTACAAAAGCTCGATCATGGAATGAGTCTAAACATTAAACTGCATCCTTCTTGAGCAGGTTGGTTAATGGCCTTGCCATATCAGCGTAGTTTACACTGTACTTGTGCAACTAATTAGCAAGGCTAGGACCTTTACAAAAATTATTCTGGTTTGACGGAACCGGCCAGTCAACAATTGACTTTACTTTAGCGGGATCAGCTTAAAAGACACACTTTTCAATGAAGCACCCAAGCTATGAAATTCCTCCTGCACCAAAAATGCATTTTGATGCATTTGCTGACAGCTTGTATGTGCGCACGCACTCGAGCACTGCTCTTATATGTTCAATGTGATTGCCCACATCTAATTTACCTTGGTCTGCACGGCCATGAACAAAGA